AATTATTTGGTCGATTAAGTAAAGATATAATAATATTGTGTTCCAGACAGTTTAATGATTTAAAAAAATCGAATATGAATTTTTTGCACTCCAATATATTTTGTTTTATTTAATAATATTTAATAACATTATTAAGAAAATAATCTTTCGCATGTACAGAAATACGATTGTATAATGTATTGCCCGTTTTTTTTGCTTAACTGCTTGAGTCTCTCTCTCTATTCATTTTGTGTCTTTCAGTACATTTAATACTTTTCTTGAAAGAACTATTCTAAAACTGCGAACGCTCCCGTGGATGTAAGTAGAGATAGCTGTCTCTTGCATTTTTCAAGCAATTAATTTGTTCTATCGGCCACATTTTTTACGAAGGAATAAGACTAATCATTATATATAGCGGTTGTCATCATAATTATAGCTAAAAAGTTGTAATTTTAATCCTCTTTCATATAAACTGCTATAACTTTGTTTTCAGTTGATTGCAATTGATCGGTGATTACCATGCTACGGTTACGTTTAGCCAGTGAACCGTGCGTGATCAACATGCTGCTCTAGAGTCGTTTTATTATTATTGGCATTGTGATCGTAGCATTACGACGTTAACAATTTTGACAAGTGTTCCAAATTACATTTCAGATATCGCAGATGTCGAATTACTGGTCAAATCTTACGTAACAGTGAATATAAATTGAAATATCGGTATTATTATATTTTGCTATAAAATTGTAAAATGTCACGACGCGATAACATGATTACAAGCACTATTGCTCTGTCGGTGCAAATCGGTCTTCGAAGTATTGGATTTTGGCCTAATACGCCTTGCGGTTTGTTATTTCGATGCCTTTGGATGTTGACCATCGGTATAGTGCAGACTTTCCAATATTGGTGGATCATTCTTCATTTAAGAACCGACGATATGTCGTACTTGATGGATGGTTTAAGTGTTACTATAGAGTACAGCGTGATGTCTTTAAAACTGATTATTTTGTGGTTCAATAGTCGGTAAGAAAATATTTTCCATGCATCAAAAATCAAAAGTCAAGTTTATTCAGATCATTTTTAAAAGTCATGATTCTTATAGCACTTCTTTCTATCTTTTCTCTCTTAAGTAGAGAAAAAAATTATATCTTTCTCTATCTATTTTTCAATAAAATTTCCAATTGGTTTGAAATCTATAAGAAAGAAGATATATTTAATCCAGACTTGAACATGACAGCCCTTATTAATTAATTTAGACAATATAAACATTAGCATCTAACTGTAAATAATATTTGTGTATAATATATAGGTGAAACTAAATTTATCATTACATTTTTCGTCATAATTTATATATCACTTCATTTATTATCAAATGTACATTGGAAGATCAGATCTGTTTCCTTTCCAGAACACATTCTTTTCCATCTTATTATGTTCCAATTTACTGTTAACTGTTTATCCATACACCTGGATAGAATAAATTGCCGCAGTATATTTTACGACGTCCTAGCTGCGATGGCTGCAGATTGGAGAGAAGCCACCAGCAACGAAATGCACATCATGATGAGCAAGGCAAATCTATCGCGGCGCTTTTCCAATGTTATCATCGGGCTTCATTCGGTAGCAGTGATGTGCTTCGGAATTGAGGTGCTCGCATCCCATACCAACGATTATGATGCCGGTCATGGAATCGAGACGCCTATTCGCGCGTTCACACTGAAGCTACAGCTCCCGTTACAATGTAACGAATCGCCGCTGTACGAACTCGTTATGAGTTTGGAGTTCCTTCATCAATTGGCATCTGCCACTGCGACCGGCATACTTAACAGTCTACTCATCACGTTGGTGAGTGCAATATATGATAGAAAGATTCTCTTTCGATATTTTTATACTTACACTTAGGTGATATTGCATGATCATGTTAGTTATATGCTATATTTTTCACACAACGTTGTACTGTTATTTATTAAGTAACTGTATTATGTTAACAGATTGTATATTATATAGAGTAGAGTGGGAAATTGGAACCATCTAAAAATAATTTAAATAAAGCCGGTAATTGTTTACTAATCACAAATATGTTTTAAAAAATGCTCTAAATTGCTCTAAAATGCTTTAAGTTGCAATAATTAATATTTATATATAAACGATATAATTTTAAACAACAAATAAAATCTTTGTTCGAAATTACTTGTCGCTACGCGGGGCAATGCCGAATTAAATTTTATTTTAAAATTATTTTTACATTGTTAATATATAAATGTTAACTATTTTAATTTAAAAAGTCAATATTCTTTTAAAAATTTATTTAATTGAGTAACAATCGTCGATTCTGTTTAATTTTTTTTTTTAATATTCGCAATTTCTCTTACTCTCCCCTCTATCAAAAAACATCAAATACGGTATTTATCTTAAACGATGTGTATGTTCAATAGTTTCGTGTTGTATAGTTAGATTAATCTTAATTGACAATACTGCACTGAAAGAAAAGATTGGCTGCAGCAAATTAGTAAAATAAAATGGCATAGCATTTTTAATTGGCTGCAGCATCCATCTTTTCTTTCATTGTAATGCTGTCAATTAAGATTAATTTAATATAATTTATTTATACATAATTTATTTTGTGTACCATGTGGTTAGCAACTATTATGATAGCGTGGAACCATTTTCTATTTATTTATATCATGATTTTATAGAAATACGTTTTCAGATTCTTCATACGAGCGGTCAGATAGAAATTTTGTGTGATACGTTAAGAAATATCTCTTCCAAAATGAACAATCAACAACTAATTTTTTGTATGAAGGAAGCGATTGGCAAGCATCAAAAGATTATCACTTTTTCAGATAAAATTGATAAAATCTTCTCTTATATAGCGCTAATTCAATTCATGTCAAGCACACTGCTAACTTGCTGCATAGGATTCACGGTCATAACAGTAATTCTTTGCCAAAAATAAAGAGTATAAAGAAACGAATGTTCATTTTGCAACGATAATTTATATCACGATTTGATGTTGCAGTCCATTAACGCGCAAGATTCGGATACGATCGATGGCACGGCACTAATGAAAGCTGTAGTGTTTTACATGGCTGCTGCCGTGGAGGCATTTACTTTCTGCTTTTGCGGAGAATACCTCACTGCCAAGGTCGGAACAATCGAGATCTTTCCACTTGTTTCTCTTTATAGAGAAGTCAATTTATGCGATTCGGCTGTACATCGTACGATTTTAAATAATCACAATTACGTCTTTTTTATGGAGGACATAAATATTTAAAGAAGAAGTTAAATCTTCTTTTTCTTTTTTTTTTCAATGCGAAAAGAAAAATCGATAGATATTTTCTTTTCAATGTAAATATGTTGCAGTGACCTCATAATAATTATATGAATTTGTATTGTATATATAATATATATTGTGCAAGTTTTATTAAACAAATCTTGCTTGTACGTATTAATTAATTATTATTTAAATAATTATTATTACTTATATTATTTAAATGATAATTATTTAAATTAATGTCAATTATACAATAATTTGCCTTAATTATTTATTTAACAAGAATACATTTTTATGGTAATTGAAGTATATAATGATTTTTTTATCAAATTATATCAGAATTGTTATTTCTTTTATAGTATATATAAAAAAGCTTTTATGTTGATTTATCCCTCTGACAACACAACTTTTTGCAACACTTTTCTTCAGAGCAAAATGATCGGCGATGCAGCGTACAAATCAGTTTGGTACGACTTTGCACCCAAGGAGAGTAAGCTCATTCTGCTTATAATATTAAGGTCACAAAGAAGACTTACCATTACGGCTGGAAATATGATGGACTTGTCACTAGAGGGATTTACGAGTGTAAGATTCAAACACTGAATTTTTTGTTAATAAAGTTCTCATCTTGATGGATCAACCGATAGCTGATGTTATTCCGAATAATTGCGATATTTTAATTATTAAGCAATTTTATAATACAATTTTTTAACTGATTGTGATATATGTCTTTCTTAATAGAAATATTTGACTTATATTTAAACAGTTTGTTTATTTATAAATTTATTTTTATTAACTTTTTGTTGTATTATTATATATTATTATTGTTATATCATTGTATTATTATGTTATTATTATTTGGTATAATTTTTCTAGATTTTAAAGGCCTCTGTTTCGTATGTCTCAGTATTGAACGCGATGTATTGAGTTCAAAGGCAAGCCATCTAGTATCTAGATGGTCATTACATGTTGTTAAAGATATTATGAGTTTTTCTTAACGGTTCTTTCTTGACAGTTTCTGTGATGCATGTGAAATTGCATGATAATAATTATATAAATTAAATGTAGTATAATGTATCAATTTACCTTCTACAGTTTGTAATAAAACATTTTAGATTTTCATGGTCACTACTCGCATTACTCGCGTATATTCAAACCTCTATTTTTCTTTCAATTTTAATATAAAAATAATTGAGCATTTTGTACATTAATATAAAGTCTTTTTGCTATATATATTTGCTATATATATTTTTAAAAATAAAAATAATTTTTTTATCTGTGAAAATTGTCTATATGATCGTATCATCCAACTTACTTTTCATATTCTTGCTTATCTTTCTTTATTGTTCGTCTCAGTATACTGAATTTTTTCTCAGCGAGCGCTGATCAATTTTCAGTAAGCTTCATATATGTTTAAAATAAGTGACTCAGTAAGTTAACGACTCTATCGTCGGAAAACTCAATGTTTTTAAACTGAACAGAAAAAAATTCGAGATAAATCGCTTTTTCTACATGTCACATTTTCCTCTCAAGTCTATAATCTAATAAATTGGCGAGCATTTAGTTTCAATTTAATTCCATTTCTGTAAAGTATGGGTTATAATTACGATTGATCGATTACGGTAATGATGGAGTTCATTATTATGTTTTATCTCTCTCTTTCTTTTGTTTTTACTTTTTGCTATATCCGATGTTATTATGTCTAAGAGATTTACACGGCTTGGAAGTAGTCTTTCTCAGAAGAAACATGTTGGAGTTACGCAAAGATACGATAGGACGCGCAAGCACCATCAGTGAGTCGGTCGAAGTGGGTTTACGTTTTATCGGAATGTGGCCACATTGTGTATACGCGAATATCAACTGGTGGACTTATATCGTGTCGGTGGCAATAATGCAATATTTTCAATATGCGTATATTTTCGCACACTTCGACCTCAGCCATCTCTCGGTTTTTGTAGATGGCCTAAGCATCACATTCGGCTACAGTTTGTCGTTTCTTAAACTGATCAATCTGTGGTTCAATCGTCGGTAAGATTAACGCTTAACGGTCTCTGCAGACAAGGCGAGTGATCGATCATGCCTTCATTTCGTTTTAATTCCATTTCTATCTTTCAAATGATATGGGATGTAAAAAATGTTCCGTAGAAAATTGTTCGCCATTCTGGATACAATGAATAAAGATTGGAGCGACGCAATCCATTCGGACATGTCCACAATGATCAGATACGCCAACTGGTCGCGTCAATGTTCCAATGTAATGATCACCACGAATGCATTAGCTGTGTTCTTTTATGTAATTGGAGGTTTAATATTCCGGTCAATGATTCAAAAGAATGATGATTCAATTCGCGAGCTGCCCATCAAAATGGAATTTCCTTTTAAGGTTGACTATTTCCCGATTTTTGAGCTAATATTGATACTTCAATTCTTTCATGATTTATCTGTAGCTTGTATCATTGCTATGTTGAACGCTTTGCTCGTTACGCTGGTAAGACTTCATTATATTTCATGATTTAGGTTCGAAAGTTATCAAAATTTTGTTAAATTTATAAAAGATATAAATAATTACTTTTTATTACATTTGCATTTAATTATAAATAAAAACACACACACACACACACACACACATATGTGTGTGTGTGTGTGTGTGCGTGCGTGCGTGCGTGCGCGCGCGCGCGCGCGCGCGTGTGTGTGTGTGTGTATACGCACAAGCTTTTCTCTTTGTGTTAACTAATTTTTTTTGTTTGAAAACTCAATTAGAATTGGAAATTAATTGTAGTACTAGTTTCTGAGATATTTATGAGAGACTATTTATTGTTATATTCCATAATTTTTTATACTAGATTATTATTTTTTTACTAGATTATTATTTTTAGATTATTCTTTTAGTGACATTGGAATCTTGTGTTTCAATAAATATTATAGTTTTTTATTTTTAAATATAATTTTATGTGTATAACTTTTCAGATTTTTTGCGGAGATATAGCCATACTGCTGTAAAGTATCTATAAAACTGAAGATGTTTTTTAGGTACTACACGTAAGTGGTCAAATTGATATTATGCTGCAAGGATTCATGGAAATTTCTTCTAAGCATACATCAAGATCTTCTCTAGCTGCTATTAAAGATTTAGTTAATAGACATCAGAGAATCATCGATTTGTCAGAAGACATTGAAGACCTTTTCTCAAACATCGCATTGTTACAATTTATCTGGAATACTTTGGTCATCTGTTGCATAGGCTTTGTGATTGTAATAGTAAGTTATAATTTTATATATTTTGTATTATAATTGTTCCGTCTTATTCTCTCTCTCTCTCTCTCTCTCTCTCTCTCTCTCTCTCTCTCTCTCTCTCTCTTTCTCTCTCTCTTTCTCTCTCTCTTTCTCTTTCTGTTTTTATTTTTTTATGTATATTTATGACGAATTACTTTTAAATTAAAAATATTATTTTTAATCTTGATAAAAATTTGTTCCAATTTTTTATATAATTTTTTAGAATTTTTATATAAAAATTCCGAATTTTTAAAATTTTATAAATAATTTTAGAAGATTTAAAAAAAATTGTCAGTGTTTTTAGAAAAATTGAAACATTTTTCAGAAATGTCAAGAAAATCTACATTTTTTCTAAAATTTTTCATATATGTGAATTCTATATAATATTCGAAGATTTCTAAGATTTTTTTATCCTGTAATTTTTGATGAATCTTTATAAAATTTGAAAAGTTTGCGAGATTTTTTTCAGAAATTATAAGATGTCAATTCTTAAAAGCTTTAATATTTCGAAAATTATATATATGGAAAATTTTAAGAGAAGATATAGATTTTCTTAATATTTTCTTAGTATTTTTGAAGAATATTTAAATTTGTATAAAAATTCTGAAAAACTTTTTTTCCAAGAAAGATGCAAAATGCTTGGATGTTCATAAATTGTCTTACATAAGTATTGTATACATATTGCAGTCTATCGGTACGGAAGAAGGCGCTACGACGATAACGAAATCCCTCATCTTTTACGTTGCGATAACTCTCGAGGCATTTGTTTTTTGCTACGCTGGAGAATATCTTAGTGCCAAGGTCAGCGTAAGGGAGCATAATGGTAGCGTCGTAGAGATTCTTGAAATTTCTTGTTAACTTCTGAAAGAAATTTATTATTAGACCATTAATCGTGGAAATTTGTTTGCTATTGCAGAGTAAATCCATCAGTGATGCTGCATATGAGTGCTTGTGGTACGATCTAACTCCCAGCGAGTGTCGAATCTTGATGTTCCTTATGTTGAGATCACAGAAACGGTTAACCATCACTGCAGGCAAGATAACTGATCTGTCCTTAGAAGGTTTCACAACCGTAAGTTTATTTGAATTATGCGGAAACTTTCGTTTGAACTAAAACAAAAATTTTAATTGCCAGATTATGAAATCCTCTGCGTCGTATATATCCGTATTGAGTGCACTATATTAAAGAAAAATAAAGAATTGCATTTGGACACTGGTGAGTCTTTTAGTAGAATATTAAATTAAACTTATCTCAATGGCAATAACAAACTGACTTTCCTGAAGGAAAGGACGCCATATGATTTCTATGCAATGCGACAGGAATAGTTTTAACCAAACATTCAATTCTCCGTTGAACGGAGTGTTCGTATATATATTTATATATATATA